CCCCGCCCGCTGGCGCGCTCCCGGCCCTCCGCCACGGCGGCGGCGTGTCCCCGCGGTGCCCCCCGCGACCAGCTGGGCTGCCGCCAGCGGTGACGCACGGCCTGTCCCGTCGCTAGTGGTCAGATCTGAAGCTGGGCTTCAAATCACAAACAGCCGAGGTTTAGTTCAGGCAAATGGATTTTCCGCCAGTGACTGGAAAAGCAAGAGGCCTTTGCTTCCTTCCCCCCGCGGCACATCCTGCGCGGCTTCGGGCCTTTATCTGCACGGAAGGCGAGGGGTTTCCCCGGCCAATGGCAACATCTGCTGTTTCCCTGGGAACAGCCTCCTTGAGGCTCCCAGTTAGACTAGGAGCAAACTTTTTGAGAATCAGAAATCCTGCCTTCTTCAGGCCAACGGCAAACGAAAAGATCTCGTAGAAAATGTACAGTCGATGCTTTCTCAACCCTGAAATCTGCTTTGATTTTATGGGACGAAGGCCATGGAAAGAGTAGGAGCAAAAGACCCCATGCATTTTCTTTTCTTTATGTTATAAACAGGGACGGCAAATGCAAAGCACAAGTCGCTGCAATTTAGACCAAATGCCAAAGCTTAAATTATGAGTGCTTTCTAGGAAGTTACACCAAAGGGTATCTGCATGAAAGTGGCCCTGTTTAGCATATGTCAACAGTTTTTACACTTTTTTTTTTTCCCCCCAAACCAGAGGCTCCATGGTACTGGGGAGCTTCCTGCAATGAGATGCAACTGTGACAAGTGACCCCCCAGCTGGACGGGAAGCGTCATTTGCCAGCTTGCAGGCCATGACAGGCAAGCTACAGTGCACAGGAACTGAGCCCTTCCCTCAGAACACTGCTGGCTTGCACTACTCAGCTATGCTGCTTTTTGAATCAGGGGCCAACGGTAACCCTACACACCTGGTTCAGTGCCTCTGAACATCCCTGCAGTTGGACACTGCTACCTGCGAAGTGCCAGTGACCAATGCCCACAGCTGTAAGAGGACAGAATTCTTCCATTTAAAGGAAGACTGCAACACCCTCAAAAGAAGGCCTAAGGAGGTGACCGGGCAGGGGGGAGAGGATTAGGGTGGATTTCTGGAGGCCTCCACAAGTTGAAAGGATCTACCTTCACAAAGTAGAGAAAGCACGGAGCAAGTAGGACCAGCGTTTCTTTGAGCTAGAGCAGCCTTGCATCATCTCCCTTGCACTGCTGCCTTGGCACCCACAGGCCAGTCTTGTGTGCAGAGGTGGCTAGCCAGACATCAGAGACATGCCCTGCTGCTAGAAAGGGTGCTCTGGTCTTCATTCCTGTATAGCCCTGCAACACTGCCTGACTCGGTCCACTTTGCACACGATGCACCAAAAAGCACCTATCTTCTTTGCTGCCCCTTTAGGTGTGGCAATTACCACCACTGCTCATTTCTGTACAAAGCGCTCTGGAGAACCTGGGGCACCCTCAGGCTCATCAGGCATTGCTTGAGAGCCCACTTGGTCAGCACAATCACAATTCCAGAAGGCTAGACCAGGAGTTAGTGGAGCCCAGCTTGAAAAGATAGCAACATCTACAGCTTCCTGAGGAGCGGAAGTGGAGAGGGGGGGGTGCTGATCTCTTCTCCCTCATATCCAGTGACAGGACAGGACACATGGGACTGCTTCAAATGTGCCAGGGGATGTTCAGGCTTGACGTTAGGAAGCATTTCTTTACTGAGAGGGTGGTCAAATAGAACAGGCTTCCCAGAGAGGTGGTCAATGCCCCATGCCTGTCAGTGTTTAAGAGGTATTTGGACAGTGCCCTTAATAACATGCTTTAACTTTTGATCAGCCCTGAAGTGGTCAGGCAGTTGGACTAGATGATCGTTGTAGGTCCCTTCCAACTGAAATATTCTATTCTGTTCTGTTCTGTTCTATTCTATTCTAAATATCTGAGCAGAGCAGTGCCCACAGATCAGAATGGGCTTGGGCTGAGTCCAACTGTTTATTTTGCCATTGACTTTGGGAACCGGAGGTGGGGAAAAAATGTTGTGGTTACCTTTACATAATATTGTTTGCTTCGTTCTTTGAAGCATCACATTTGAAGGCCCTTCTTCATTGTCTCATCTCCCATAAGTGGATTTCTGTGGCTTCTGACATGGGTTACGTGCTCAGACAGTGTGAAGCCACATATTCAGCTTGCCCAGTCAATCTGTGTTGGCCGGAGGCTGGAGCCCCTTGGGTTGAAAAGAGCTAGTGCTTTTCTCCGAAAAGGTCCAGCAGGGCCAGCTGCAAAGTCACCGTTAGCAGTTTGCAGACCACACCTGGCACTGCAGGCACAAACCAGCACAGAGACAAAGCAGCACAGGCCCTTCCTCACAGCTTGTCCCAGCCCGCTGAGGACAGTCCTGCCTGAGAGACAACAGACTGGGATTTACCGACTGCTCAGCTCTTAGGTACCTTCCAGAATTGCTGCCATTTGCCAGGGTGGGCTGCATCCCCAAGAAGGAGGACTAGCCCAGGGGCTTCAGCAGGTTGCCCTTCCTAGCCAGTGGGGTCAATTTTGGCAAGCATTAGGGCATGCTGTGTCCGACAGAGACTGCTTGCCAGTTTACACTGTGCCGGGTGCATTCACCAAGGGCTAGATCTGCATCCCAGCTCCTCACAACCCTAAACATTAGTGATTTGTAGAGGGCCCACCTGAAAGGTCTGACACCAGAACCCTCCCCTGCACCTGCACCACCAATTCTCATGGGTGCAAATTCCTCTGAACTCGCTCTGCAGAAAGTTCACATACTCCCTGAAATGTATTTGAAACCACCATGTAAGGAAGTGCTTTCCTCCTATAAATGCTGAAACATCTGTACTGAAGGCTATCAGGCCCGCGCACTTATATGCCGTATGTTGTGTCAAGGGGGAACTTATGACAGCCCCCAGCTAGGCAGGGCTACCTTCCATCAGCCAGCCATTTGGACTGAGCTTATTGTATTTCCAGCCTAGAAACTGCTCTATTATCTTGCCATCCAGTAAGATTTCTGACTACCTATGAACACACAGTTGAGATTCTTATTTTCAAACCTCATTTTCAGCACTGGGAGAATTGTTTTTCTTCCTAAGAATAGCTCACATGCTTCTGGAGAAGCCAGAAAACAGGAATTGTGGCTACTTCAAAAGAACAGGTGATACACCTAATGCAAGGACCTGCATGCTCCCTCCATGCCTTTGCAACTGTACTTAGGAGTGATTGGTCTCCCCTCCTTTCTTTAAGTGGGTATTTCTCCAGGAGACAAGCACCACTTGTTACTTCCCAGCCACTCAAGGAGTTAGGGTTGCTGCAGCACAGTCTTCCTATGTAGCAACTTAAAGGAAAATGTGGAAGTCTGCAGGATTTGATATTTTATTTATTTTTTTCTGAAGGGTATTGTACACCAAATATCCCATTGGCAGGAAAGCGCATTCGATGTGTTTAGAAGCCAAACAGTCACTTTCATTTTAACAAACACAATTACAAAGTAAAAATAAACCACAAAATAATGAACCGCATGTTCATAACATACAAAAATTGCTGCCTACTCAGTAGGTAACTACAACATTCCAACTCCTGAATATATATATATATATATAAATTTACATTTTTGTAACAAAAATAGACTTTGAGAGGTGTGGGGGTTTTTTTTGCTTACATTCCGTCCCCCAGGGCTTTCTCGTGCTCCCCTCCCCACCCATTCCCTGCTTTCCCTTACATTCTTTGAGTAACATCCCTTTCACTTTAAGGCAAGATGCAAAGCATCCATTCACACAAATGCATGACGTCAGCAAGGCTTCACAAAAAGGCACCAAGACTTCTAACTTTAAAAACAAAACTTCTGCCACATGTGAGTGTCTCATCAGGTGATATTTACATAGCATCACTCTAACATGCTCAAATACAGTAAGTGCTGCTCCCAAAGAAGTTTGAAACTCATTACAGCATTGTCACTGAAATAGAATTAACATTTACAAAATATGGCCCTGCAAATTCCAAATAATACAATATGGATATGCAAAGATTTTTCACATCAATAGTACCTAAAGGAAAGCAAAACCATGGCACATGTACAATTTACATCGGCTACATACTTAATGAAAAGTCCTTTCTTCCTAATAAAAGACTATTGTTTACAGGGAAAATTATACTGAACTTATATCCACAATCCATGCAAATTAAGTCATTCAACAGAGGTGGAAAACTTAAATGGCAGTTGTTTCAGGCAGCTGAAGTTTAAAGAAAAGTTAAATAGCCTTGCAACGTATGGTGTTGGGGGGAGTAGTTGGAGACTCCATGTCTGATAGTACCAATGGAAAAGGTGAATTCTCCTGTTCCAGAAGACAATCTCAGCAAATCTCAATTGTCCTTGGAGAAAAGGCTGATGTCATGTCTGAAAGTGCTGAGGTCACCTGTGAGCTGAAATTGTTGGTGACCCCTGGAGATGAGAAGGAGGTGGCCACTTGGGTCTGAAAAGTGGCAGTGCCAGAGGGGTAAGTGGTTGCTATAGAAGGAGATGGGAATGTGGTGTGTGCAGGGGAGGGGTAGGAAGAGGGTGCAGGGGAGGAATACACTGTGCGCACTGGTGAGGGGTAAGTGGTGGCGATGGAGGAAGGGTAGGATGTAGTCACAGAGGATGAGTAGGCAGGAATTGGGGAAGCAGTTGAGACCGGAGCTGCCTTTTCCACTTTCTTATCCTTCTGCCTAAGGTGGATTTTAGTGTGTCTCTTCCTCTCATCACTTCTGGCAAACTTTCTGCCACAAATGTCACAGGCAAATGGCTTCTCTCCTGTGTGTGTGCGGATGTGTGTAGTCAAGTGGTCACTCCTGCTGAAGTTCCGCATGCAAATACGGCACTGGAAAGGTTTCTGTCCTGTGTGGATGCGGATGTGCCGCGTTAGCTCATCGGACCGTGAAAACCTCCGGTCACAGGACTCCACTGGGCAGGCATAGGGTCGCTCGTGAGGAGGGGTCTTGCTGGGACGGTTTGGGTATTTCCGCATCCTGCTGGGCTTGATCAGCTGGGACTGATAGTTAGTGTTGAGGGTCTTCAACTCTTGGGAGCCAGTCTGAGTAGCAAATGCCTTAATAGTGGACAGCGGTGTGAGGGAAGGTTGCTGTGCTCTGGTCTCAAGGGCTGGGAAGGGCTTCTGATCAGCCGGAACAAGACTGAGCTCACCCTGTTGCTGAGGGAACAGGTAATCCGGGATCATTGGCACCTGAAAGTTGGTCTTAGCAGTCGGATAAGCTGGAGGTGGATACTGGATGGGGGCTCCAGAGGGGTTGGGAAAGGACTGGGTCTGCGGTTCAGGGAAAATGTCAGAGCTGGAATTGGGGAAAGTTGGTGCAGCCGAATAAATCGGACTGTTCTCGCTGGCTTGGACAGAACAGCTCAGAGGGGGGCTCTGCGAGGAGGAGGACGGTGACGATGAAGAAGGCGTAGAGGTGGGAGGTGCATTAGCCATGCCCACCAGCCCACTGACGAGGCTGAAGAGGGGCTCTGGCCATAAGGTGTTGCTACTGTTGGGGGCCGGCTCTAGGGAGAAGCGCCCCGTGTAGGTTATCGGTGGCAGTCGCGTCGTTTGGTTGGGATAGCTGGTTTCTGGCAGGGTTTTCTCATTGTTCAGGGAGATGTCGGGAAAAGTGTCTGAAAAGAGAGGAATAGCGATTACTTCCAGCAGCTGCTGCAGCTGCTGCCAGTGCTTCACGAGCCATCCCCACACAGCGCAGCCCCAGATCCTTGCTTCTGGTTAATTAATAATTGAGTGTAACATATTGCAGCGCCGCTGGGAAAAGTGTCTGAAAAGAGAGGAATAGCGATTACTTCCAGCAGCTGCTGCAGCTGCTGCCAGTGCTTCACGAGCCATCCCCACACAGCGCAGCCCCAGATCCTTGCTTCTGTTTAATTAATAATTGAGTGTACCATATTGCAGCGCCGCTGGCAGGTCTCCAGCAGCAGCTAGCCCGGAGCCG